ACTCAGTCACTATTCTGTTCCTCTGGTCATTCTACTAATACATATTTAACGATAACTCAACGCATCTGTCATCATGCAGACGACAACGTTCACTGACTTCACATTTTATGATTATTATCAATTGCAGTACAGCAACGAATATCACCCGTCAATGCAGTTATCATTTCACGACTTGACTATTATCATCCTACGAACGGGAACTACGCATTTAAATTCATCACTAGTCGATGCTATTTATTCTGCTGCGGCTCAACAGAACATATATTTAACGTATTTCACTATTTCGTCAGCATCACAGACCAATTTCTGTCATATTCTACTGTACTCATTTTGACGATTTATTTCGCTGTCATACCCACAAACAATTTATTACTACTTTCACGATAATTTGAATCACTCATACAAACGTGTTATTTTACCGTTCACACAGTCATAGCATTAGTACATGTTAATTTTTTGTACGCTCATTAATTTGCTCATATTCGCATGCTAACGTTTCCATTTTTGTCCGCGCCTTTTCTATATTCATGTATTTTTTTTAACGTAAATATGACATTTTCATATAATACACTCACCCCTCATGTGAAACATTACTTTATCGAGTGTTGTACAATTTTTTTCGCTACTTGTTGCTAACGTTAACTTCATATCACTTCAGTGTTATTTTCGAAAACAGACATTTTTTAAATGTGCTATTTTCTACGAGGGGTCTATGTAGTGTTAGTCATAAGTTTCAGCCCATAATATATCTTATTCTAGTTTTCGGACATTTCATTCTATTCATTCTGCTTGAGTCATATTTTGACCTTGTTAATTATTCGCTTGTTAGCCTTGACTGTTTTCATATGAGCGTATGTATGTACACTTCATGTCCCATGACTCATCATATGTCTGTGGTTTATTTTGTCTGGCTATAAATATTGAGTAATTCCCGGCTTGAAATGGAGTTGGCTTCCCAGCCATCTTCCCTGTGCGTCATTTTGCTTGGCTCTGTTTCATTCACTCCATGTACGAAATATATGTATTGTCAAGTCAATTCTCGTTATTCGACTTATTTAATTCCGTTATTGGATAACGCGATCTAAGTCGACGATGATATACGAGAATAGGTGATAGCAATCTTCCATACAATCTAAAATGGAGTCAGATCCATGGGCAGTTGAATTGGTATACACACATGGAGGAGCCAATCTTCGGTAACTTATCCTTGATTAGTTGTGTGAGTACTGGTTTAGTCGAGAAAATTATGTGTAACTTGGTGGCATGAAATGTCCATGAATTCCCTACTGAGTGATCGAACTAAATTCCAAAAGCTTGAGTTATGTAAAGACCTCAATGAAGAGACCGAACGTGAACTAACTACAACATTAAAATTACTAAAACAAGATCAATACATCTCTGAGCATACCTGTTATACGCTCAAGCCTTCTGGAACACATACTCCTCGACTATATGGTCTACCTAACATTCACAAACCTGATGTTCCTTTACGCCCGATACTGGATATGGCAAATTCTCCATACCATTCAACAGCAAAATGGTTAGTTAAGTTATTAGAACCATTGCAACAAAAACTTGTTAAGCATAGTGTTAAAGATGTCTTTGAATTTGTTGATACAATTAAAAATATGAATATAAATGGCAAAATCATGCTATCACTAGACATAACATCTTTGTTCACTAACATCCCTCTGGCTGAAACTATCGATTACATCTGTGAACAACTGCCAGAAAAGAAAATAGAGATACCAATCCCAGTTATTAAAATGAAAGGACTTCTGTTGAAATGCACTATGAACATCCACTTTAAGTTCAACAATGAATTATTCAGACAAGTTGATGGGGTAGCGATGGGATCACCTCTTGGCCCGATCCTTGCTAATATTTTTCTGACCGAACTAGAAAATGAACCGCTTAAAGATATCCTAAGTAAATTTGATTATTATTGTCGATACATAGATGACACACTAATCATATGTGACGAAAGTATCGACAAACAGATGTTAGACGCTTTCAATAATGTCCACCCAGCCATTCATTTCACCAGCAAAGAGGAGAAAAACAATAGTATAGCTTTTCTGGATGTCTTACTTTCTAGAAGGATAGATGGTTCCATAAAGCGAAATATATTTAAAAAGAGTACATGGACGGGTCAGTATACCCATTTCCAGAGCTTCACAGCTCTTCAATATAAAATAAATTTGGTTAAGTGTCTCAACCACGGAATCAAGTTATTATGTCCTGAATGACGAAACAGATATACTAAGGAACACATTACGAAATAATGGCTATCCTGATAATTTCGTCAAAAAATACCTCGCACAAAATACTAATAAAAAAGAAGACATTACGACACAGTCAGTAAAAAGACATTATATCTGAGACTTGACTTTGAAGGAGACATAGCGGGTGATATTCTAACAAGTCGACTCAAAATATCTGTCGAAAGGACGTTGTTTTCTATTTTATGGTACGATGAGGTTTGTTTGATTGGTATATAGACAGAGTATGTCTGAAATATAATGATTCATAACTGGCTGGGCTAGACAAAGGAGCAGGACCAATCGAAACTCTAGGCCATTCGTGCGTGTTTTACGTGTCATTGATCCGATCGATAATACACTGCTCTCTAATCTTCAGTCTATAAGTTACAACAATTGGAGAGGGGGTCGAGAAAATCTCCAACCCTGTAATTGGATGAGATTTAGCTTAATTATTTCGACCAATCAGCATCCAGACTTATCATTGTCTTTGGGAGACATTGGTTGTTAAATAATCATACTATATTTCTGATTACTGTGCTCACTCAGAAAATGGTCAGCTCTCCCGATCAATTACAGTTGCTACTTGAGCGTCAACAGCAGCGTTTCAGAAAGAGCCAGTTGAATGTTTTGGACAATTTACCCACACGACTGCTGAATCTCCCATGTTTCGGAGATGTGACAGAAAGTGATGAATTAATTTCTCATTTGCATACTGAACTGGAAAATGACTGTAGAATGTATGAATGTGCCAATCAAAACCTCTATGAATCCTTGAAGAGCAGTAATGCAAACGTAGCAGTCGTTCATGATCCGTCCAGTGGTCCAGAAATGTCCGTTTCAGAGACATACCCTGTCGTTAACTCAAATCCCATTGCGTCCGAAAAGCTATGTACAGACACTGGATTGTCCAGCACACAGGAAGACGATTTCTTATTAAATGCTCATATAGTTATTGCAGTACCCGCGCCCAAAGAAACAGAAATTTATATTGAATCAACTTATCCAGTTTCTAGTGACAATGTACCAGATATGGGTCCTGACAATAATGCACATAATTTTGATGAAATTTCTTACAAAAATGAGGAAAATAAATCGCCTGAGTCCAATGATGGTCAAAGATTTAATTTAATTTGGTTTGATGTTGATATTCTTAATGACCCATTATCCGCTGATGAGATTCTTAATGAATTTGAAAATAATGCTTCAGAAGAACCAAACTCTGACGTCAAATCAAAAATCGTTCATTATCATCTAGTCATTTCTAGTGGATTCTACATTCAATGCGAGAAACATGTTTTAAATAAAGTTGAATTAATTGTTAATATTTGTTAATAAGTTTGTAGAAATTATTTCCTCGTTAAATGAATCCACGTATTATAATGAGTAAGTTGAATCCATTCAACATTGAATCAATTGGATTGGATCAAAGATAATGGATACTGTTTTAATAGTAGTATAAAACGTCTGTCTTCTTTTATTCCCTTTTAAGTAATATAAGTAAATTTCATCACAATAATGAAAATAAATTGATTAGGTCATGTGTGTCATTTTTAAATAGAAAATTTAATCAATTTATTAGCTTGATTAATACTAAAGAATAGATATATTAGATTAGAGAATAACAGACATATATTTCATTGGTACTTGACTAGTAATTATATGTAAAGATGGATGATTGTTAGCAGCGGAATGCAGGATGCGTGTTTCGTCTTAATTGGGACTCGTCAGCTGAATGTATTTGTATTTCATAGTTGATGTTCAATTCATGAATTGAATCAAGTAGTGTTCACTACAAATGTCATCACGTTATCCATTTAGCTAGTGAGTTCAGATAGACATTAGCTTGTGTAATAGGGTGAATTTTAAATTCATTTTGTATTGTTTATTTGAAACTTCATGTGATTTAAGGCAATATCAAAATAATCCGTATAGAATGTACATGTGCTAATAAGAGACCGATCAATTGAAGTCTTAAACACCAATTGGAAGATTCAAACAGACGATATAAAGGGAATTTACTAGTAACTAGTTGAGAAGTGATTTCCTCGCATCCCATTAAATTCGTTATCGAGTACAATTAGAATCTATAGTAAGAAGGTAACTCTTTTAAAACGGTAAACACATTAAAATAAATGTAAAAACGAATGGGATAATTGGTATTCCTTATCGGTTATATAACTCAGTGATTCTGCCCACGGTTGACTTAATTATCTTGATAATTTACCGTAAAAATACATTAACATCCAAATGAGGTTTTTGTAGATATTAAAGTAATTTCATTGGTTGAGATCATGAGTCAATCGACGCTAGACCACCATGGAAATCCTGGAGGCACTGAACGGTCGTTTGGTCCTATTGTGGGACTCCTCAACAGTGCGCATCCGCGACCCCGCCTAGCAGGATTCCAGCCAAGGACCTATCAGTCTTGCGCCAGGTGCTTAACCAACTAGACCACTGAGCAGTAGTCACCCGATGGTGTTAATGTCTAACTTCAATTCATATTCAACACTCACACGCTCTCGTCTCGCTCTTGCTCTAGCTCGCTTGCTTGCCTTTCGACACAACTCTTCTATGCTTGTTTAACGCATCTGTACATTTGGATATATGTGTGTGGTCTCGCAATAAACGTAATCAACACTTCGTATTTGCCTTCTGATTAATATACCGTTGGGGCGTTATACAGAACGGTTAGCAAGACGAATTGTATACGACGTTAAGGATTATATCGGATACCGACCACCATATAATTGGTGACCCCGACGCACGAACACGAAACAATCTTCGACGACATAATCCAATTTCTGAAATCCAACGTACTCGATTCCAATTGTCACTATCATTTGGATTATAATTATAACTGTGGATTTATTATCTCATTATTTTAATTATACGTACATTATCTCTCAAACGTTAATGAATATAACGATAATATTCATAGTAAACAACGATATTTTACAAATAATTGATAATTTGGTGCAATTTAGTAAGTCCGTTCTTTGTTTTAAATTGTATCATTTGTTTTTATTATTGTTTTTATCGACTCACTTTTCTCTGTGACATTCGCATTATATTCGTGTACTTTTTGATCTTTATAAATATGTCTTTAAGTAACGATACAATAGAACTTTCCTAAACGCCGTACGTGAGGTCCATTAATATAACTATTCCACCTTTTAAAGTCACAGATCCTCAACTTTGGTTTATCAATTTTGAACATTACTTTGTAGCTATTCGTGTTCATACACAGCGAGATAAATTTGGCCACGCGAGCTCGCTACTTCCAGATGAAGTAGCAGATAATTTACGAGAGATTTTAATCAAGCCAGACATAGAAAAGCCATACGACGCATTAAAACAGGTAGTGATTAAAGCCGTCTCATTAAGCGACCGGCAAGCCATTGAACAGCTTCTCAGTCAAGTGCAGATAGGACTCCATCGCAGTTAAAAAACTATATGAAAAGCGTAATCGGAGACAGAAGAGTAGATAAAAACGTATTTTATTAGCTGTGGTTACGACGACTTCCAGCGAATGTGCAGCAGATCCTTGCAGTTGAGGACAGTGATGTCGATATAGACAACATTTATAAGGTAGCTGATAGGATATACGAAAGAAGCAAGTAAGCAAGCCCTCCACTACACAAAGTGACGGTAGACGACAGACTTGATACTCTACAGAAGGAAATAAATGTTTTATGCCGCAAGCTCTCAGAGTTAATGCAGAGAGAAAAGCCAAGAAGGTCATCGCGAGATCGCTCGCGTGACAGGAGCCGGTCAACTTCTAGACGACGTACAACTTCCGCGATATGTTGGTATCATCAAATGTTCGGCTACAGGGCTAAAAAGTGCCTGCAAACTTGTAGATTTAACAGGGCTGGTAACCGATACCCACGAGTAACAATGGCAACGGCATCAACGCACATAATGCCTGAAAACAGTCGCCTCTTTTATATACAAGATCGAACCACTGGCGCGCAATTCTTAGTTGACACTGGAGCGGAAATTAGCCTAGTACCTCCAGTTAGCGAGGAAAGAAAAAACGTAAATTCCTCATCAATGCCAAGAGCAGCAAACAAATCAGATATTAAGACATATGGCAAACGGAAATTGTCCCTAGATTTTGGACGTTGCGCTTCATACCGCTAGAACTTTGTTATAGCAGACGTATCAATGCCCATAATAGGTATAGATTTCCTATGTAACTTTGACCTGCTAGTAGACTCTCGACGATACAGACTTATAAACGGCGGTCAAACCACTTCGATAAAAGGAATACTTAAGGAAGCCGTTTCAATGAACCTTGTGATAGATAAAAGTTGTTAAAGAAGTTCCCTGAACTCGTAAAAGTAACATACAATAAAGCGCATTTCAAACATTCTATTTAGCATCACATCGTAACGAATGGTCCACCAATCAATGCAAGACCAAGAAGGTTAGATCCCAAAAGACTAGCTATCGCAAAACAAGAATTAGACAAGCTGATGAGGCTAGGCATCGTGAGAATATCGAACAACCCGTGGGCATCCCCGCTACATATGGCCCCGAAAAAGAATGGAGAGGTTAGGCCATGTGGAGATTACAGAGCACTGAACAAACAAACTAGCTGACAGATACCCTATACCGCACATCCATGATTTCACCTACAGTATAGAGGGCACTACTATCTTTTCGAAGATCGACTTAGTCAGGGCATACTACCACATTCCTGTTGCCCCACAAGACATACCGAAGACTGCGGTAACAACCCCATTTGGGCTATATGAATTCCTGCGTATGCCTTTTGGACTGACTAACGCGGCACAAACCTTTCAGCGGTTTATCGACCAGGTCATTAGAGGTTTACCTGGGGTATACGCGTATATCGACGATTTGTTAGTAGCTAGCACCACTAAAGATGAGCATATACAACAACTACGCCAATTATTTATGCGACTCAGAGAACATGGCATTTCTATAAACATTGAGAAGTGTGAATTCGGAAAAGAATCCTTACAGTTCCTAGGTCACAATATAACTTCTCAAGGCATCACACCAATAGCAACAGAAGTCGACGCCATTAGGAATTATCCGCTAGCCGACTCATGGAAAAAGTTACGCCGATTTCTCGGGTTAATAAATTATTACAGACGATTTACCCCGAATTGTGCGTCAATATTACAACCATTAACAGATGCGTTACACGGACACGCACGGATATTCCAATTATCACCAGACGCGATTCAAGCATTCGAGCACGCTAAAAAAGCACTAAATAAAGAAGTGACACTAAACAGACGAAAGAGAGAAACACCGTTAGCTATCATGACGGATGCATCAGACGTAGCGGTAGGAGCCGTTTTACAACAATTAGTAAATGGCATATAGGAACCGCTCTCATTTTTTTTCGAAAACACTGAATCCGACTCAAACAAGATATAGTACTTTCAGAAGAAAACTTCCAGCAATCTACTTAGCAATAAAACGCTTCCGTCATATGGTCGAAGGCATAAATTTTACCGTCTATACAGACCACAAACCACTAACGGAAGCATTAAGTGCAAAGCAAGACAATTATTCCCCGAGAGAGATCCGACAGCTAGAGTTCATTTCACAGTTCACGTCCGACATACAATACACTAAAGAACAAGAAAACGATGTGGCCGACGCATTGTCAAGAGCAACGATAAACACACTTATGGCAAGTGGGATTGATTATAACGGTTTGGAAAAATTGCAGGAGAGAGATATCGAGTTAAATAAACTCAGAGCCGGTGGCACAACATCATTAGTACTCGAAGGGGTGCGGTTTGGTAACACGAAAGTAATTTGCGATACATCAACAGGCCGACCGCGACCATTTATCCCGAAAACGTTGCGACACAAAATATTCGAAAGCATGCACAACATGTCACACCCAGGAATAAAAGCCACGATAAAGCTGATTAGTAAACGATTTGTATGGACAAACATGAATCACGATGTACGTAATCGGACACAAGCATGCATGAAGTGCAAAAAATTCAAAGAACATCGTCATACTAGCTCTGCAGTGGGTCCGTTTTCACACCCAGACACTAGATTTGAACATATACACGTCGAAATTGTAGGACTTCTGCCCCTTTTAAATGGATACAACTATATCTTTACATGCATCAACAGGTTTACGCGTTGGCCAGTAGCAGTACCGATAAAAGATACCTTGTTTGCACTTCTTTTCATCACCCAGTAATAATTCTCTTCCATAACAAATACCTTAATAGAAGAATCTGGAAAATTAGAATTCGGGAAAACATAAAGAGTGGATGGACCTGTGTCATTGCAAACGATTTTCAGCCATGTCATTCAGGGTCTCTAACCATCGGTTGCTAACATCTCGCGGTCCCTAACCAGGTAGTCTACGCCCACCAGTATGAGACTGTACCACTGTGACTCATTATAACACGTGTCACCGCCCAACGTTTAACTTTATAATCTAATTACTGTGAAGGATTGAATTCTATCAAAAGAGAGTTACATAAATAAGTGATAATAACCTAACTCAGTTTTATTATTTCTTTATTCTTTAACTATCTGATTTCTTCATTCCAGCTATTTATACCATAAAGATAATCGGGATAGTGAATTTACTCAACAACTTGTACGTTTATGTAAATCATTACCTCAAATGACAAATGTCAAACCAACATCAACATCATCGTCGTCATCATTTTCATCATCTTCATCGTCGTCATAGTCTATGCAAACAATCGGTAATAAAACTGATATTCTAAATTTACTAGGATTTTATAAACAAACTAATAAACAATGGTTACAACAAACGAAATCCATCGAATTGAATACAAATTTGCATGTTGGTCTACATGATTCATTAGCTCATTTCATTCATAATAATGATGATAACAATGATTATGCCGACATAACTAGTGCAACAACATTTAATGAAGCTATTTTTAAAGCATCTATTGAAAGTTACAATACTGATACACTACCTAAGCATCGTCAACTTTATTGGATTGAATTATTTGAAAAAGCATGAGGAAGGCATTAAAGGAAAATCAATTTAATGGAGAAAATAAAGTTTAAGTAAAATCATACATCTAAATGTACTACTTATTTACTTATCATCAAATGAACATACTGTGGTATTTACAAACATGTAAATAACATTTAATATTGTATTCTATTTATCATAGTTCTTGTTTCTATAAAAAGATTATGAAAAGATTCATTCTCTCATTTGATGATGTTCCAATCATTTCACTAGCTAAGCGTACAATTGCAATTGTGTTAAAACAATGAACGCACAAGTAATTTATTACACTGAACTAAGTATTTTTCACTGGTAATAAACAAGTCACTTGGTGATAAAAAAAATCTCCAGTATTAATGGATATTCCACATATATAAATGTGATACGATGAAATTATCTTATGAATAAAAGAAAACTGGTTTGTAGAATTCTGAATTTAACAGAATATTTTAGGGACTATCTGTGCTTCGTGTAGTAACCAAGGTCGTAATATATATCTAGTTTTCAAGTAATGATCGATCAAGTTGAAATTTAGCCATTTGTCTTTACTGACTTTATGTTGTGTGTACTGTGTTTTTGCGTATCGATTGCTCAAAGTTATCCGGTAAGTGTTGGTTTGTAGGGCTGGCTTTTTTCTGGTTGTTTGGATTGGTCAGCAAGAAGTATGTGTAATTTCAAGGGAACTGATGTCGACTAGAAGCTTAAATATAATGATAGTATGTGTAAGGAATCAGAAGCACTTTTGATCAAAGTTGAGAAGAAATGGTAAAAAGTAAGTCTCACGACCATTCATATATCGAACATATGAATATTTTACAAAAGAAAACGGGCGAGTGAATAGCGACAGGTTCATAAAGTGGAAAGGTAGTGTTATAGTTAGGCTTGTAGAGGCGAATTTCACCTATATCCGACTGCAATTGCTAGTATCCCGTTAACTGAATATTTAGTGGAGGTCAATCTCCTAGTAGATGGATTTACTGGAGATTATTCAAAAGCCTGAACACCAGTTATCGAGATAGTTTATTGTTAAAGATTGGTAAAATCCGCAAGCACACAGGGTGAACAAGAGTGTATGTGTGTTACAAATCCATATGTACTTACAAGTGTTAATCAAGTATGGATAAATTATTGATTGTCTGTGTATTACAACCAATGGGAGAATATTTTAAAAATTGACGTGTGCTCAATCATATTCACACAGAAAATTACTTAGTGAATTATATGTCTAAATTACAGTGAAAAGGTAAATAATACAGCAGTTGAATGGGCTTACTACAAGCTGAACACTGAGATAATTCGTAATCGGTCAAGAGATGGCTTTCATTTCCAAGAGATTAAACATTAACCACTGATAGATTTAAGTTCTCAAGGGATATTTATATTTTTAACACATAACATTGTCAAACTCATTATTTTTGGCCTTTGTAAAATATTATAATTATGAACTTATAACTGTAGAGCCTGATGATGAAGTTATTGAAAACAATTGTTCGCTCAAATATTCTTCATTTTTGGATATTTATATCTAAGTGAGTACACACACGGTGAGACTCTAATTTATGGAAGACCTCTGAAAGAATTTAAAGTGATTTTGAGAAATATTATCCAACCAGCAAACAGTTAGTATAGAGTAAAATTATCTTATACAAAACCAACGAAATAAATTGGATACATTTCAGAACTTATCAAGGTTAGAAAGTGGTTCTAAAATCGTAATGCATGTAGTAGAGGAAATCATCCATACGGCTACAGAACAGTCGGCCTCTGGAGCCATGATAAAGTCTCAAAACCTCTCTCAGCCTTAACCACATATTGTTTATGTGCACTTCGGTTATTGAGTACACAAAATGCTACTTGTGGATAACGACACGATGCACAAAACCAAGCCTATGTAGGAGTCTGTACGCTCTTCAAGCATCCGGATATATTGTAGTACCTGGCTGCAGACAGTGTTACTGGTGCTTTTATCATCTATTTCACAATAATTGTCGTAATTCGCCTTAGTGAGGAACTATATATGGGGTTTTCATCACAAACTGACATCAGCTACAATGCCAGAAATTCATTTAGCCAAATGTAAGAAAGGCTTTCGCGTTAAAATCCTAGATCTATTATCTTATACCTGATTGATTCGTCCACAAATTATAGTCTCGCCGTTTTATTTGTTATAGCCGCTCAATTATCATGTTTTGTACAAAATTCCCTGTGAACCGACCGTACGTTAGCACAAACCACTAAAGTTTGCACCGTAACCTTGAAATCTTCAACACATATCTGATTGGCTCGTCTGTAAATTAGAGTCTCGCCACAACACATTTACTCAAATAAATTTAGTTTCCTACCTTCCATCTTTCCTTCTAAGTAGTCGAGAACATATACAAAACGTGTATCTGCATCAAACGGTGTGACAGTAGGCTTCACAACACGTACTAACTGCTTAAAAAGATACATGATACGAACAGGCTAAACAAACGGGTTTTCTAAGCTATCCAGTCGCTGATCATTTTTGATGTAATGGTGTCATTTCAAGAGAAACGGGGAGAAAATGACTTCAAATGTTATTATACTTTGCTGAAACTAAATTTATTCATTCGATAAGATACTGTACAGTTGTCGATATTACTTTGGTCCGGTTACCTCAGTTTTTAATACACATGCTTTCAGTTATATTAACATTTTTCCTCGTGTTTTATTATTATCTGACCTCCATTTATCCAAACAGTCAATTTTCATTGTAGTTCATATTCCTCAATATAAACCTGTTCCCATGACATCGTGTTTTTCTTTAAAATTCATATAACTAATCTGTCAATACTCAACCATATAAACTATTTCATGTTCTCTGATATAAACTATATACAAGTAACCCCTAAGCTACTAGTATTTGGCCACAGATGCCTTAGAAATATTGCTCACATCTGCTGAGATCACCGGGTAAGTATCTTTCTTTCTACAAACAAATCCTTTCCTCCCGTACTATGTCATTATGCGCATTCTTTCTTTTATATATTGCCACTATTAATAAAACCACTACTATGAATCCGGTGTTCATCTTGCTGTGCTAATGTGGTATGGCAACCTGAACTGATGCATATATGAGTATGGTCCTACGTTGTAGCTGACTGACTGACTAAACCCCTAATATATTTTGAAAACTATCGTTTCTAGGTTATAAGCAAAAATATTCTCAGCGAGTGAAATTTAAATAATTTCAGTGTTTCATCCAGAAAACTTATCTGAACTTCTTCAGTGTAATACAATCAAAATTTATCAAGGAAAATTGTTTTCTCTATAATCGAAGCCTACTTTCTGTCAAACTATTCGTTCAAATATCAACGGATATTTGTATAAATTGTCTACATCCCTAATAAACTGGATACATCTATCTCCATTCAATAGCCAATTGATGTTCCTATTTCTTTCTATCTGACATATTTAAATTAACAAAACGAATAATTTCTGTTCTATGATTTATTTATAATTCGCAACCAGTGAATAATATTTACAAAATGTTCAAGTTTTACAAGTAGAGACCCGTTTTTAAACGGAGCCACAAGGCACGTGAAAAACAAATAAAAATTGATAATAATTATTTTTTATTATTATACCGAATTGATATGAAAAAATCGGAAGCTTGTTGAAATGCTTTGCACTGAGAATTCCATATTGTACCGTGTCAATTTTGATTAGTTTTTAAACTTAAATACTTAGTTCAATCCACAGAATTAACCAATCAACTACGATTATAATCGGCTATCGTGGTTGTTTAACAAGCATTAGCAGCATGTAAATGCTCCTGTGTAATATGTCTGCTATAAAATAAACCACTCGTGAGTAAAGCCACAAGGCAACACGAACGCACATCTGTTTGTAACTTATCCACCTGTATGTGTTCAAATAAATAAATAAAATATCCACCTGTATAAATAAGACAAGATTAACTATCGACTATAAATTCATCTTTCTGCTTAACCGCTATTCACTAGAATGTTTTACTTATTTTGACCACCGCCTGCCTAATTTCCAATTGTTGAGTTCCATGACCAAACAGAGGATACAAATGCTAGAAATTTACGATGAGTTTGAACTATAAATTTTCTGCAATCTTAGATCTCGTTTAGACTGTTCGTCAGGCGATGCTATGTACTTGGCTTTAATTAATTCTGGACTTATACAACGCTGTGTTAATCAAAAAATTTAATCAGCAGTACCTCGTAGAGAATCCAGATTCAAACTACTGTCTACTTCATATCTTCATTACTTAGAAGCAAGAGTAACCAAGGCGAGTTTCATAATTTCATTAGATTATTTCGTACTATATTTATGATGCGTGATAACATTTCGTAGTCGCTTTCACGTAAAGTAGGCATATGTGGAGATAGGCCTGACAAATTTTTTTGTAAATAGTTTTCAATGTTATTTGTATTTATTTTGTCAAACTTCCACTGTATGTATATTTAACATTAAGTGACTGTAACTGTTGTTTTAGTAAATGACCTTGAACACACTTTCCGTTGTACTACCACATAGCGTGACATACCGCTGCTGGCTAAAAAATACAATGCTTCTCACATACTCCTCGTTCTATTTCCATTTGTGATTGAGCTAACTGAAGTCTAACTCAAATACTATCTTCATTTATAGACGGTCATCGAAATATATCACATCCTATGTTGGACTATATCACTAGAGAGTTCGCCAACCTAATCAGAATCAACAAACATTTATAATTGTGGATTTACTTTATTGGACATAATCATAACACGCAACGTCTGATCAATTTAAGTAACGTCCCGAATTTTTATTATATTTGTAACAATTAATTGTATATAATATTATTATTGATTTTTAATAACTTTGTTTATATTTTTTGTGCTCATATCTGTTTGGGGATGCTACTCACTTCGCAAGTTGCCTATTACAAACGATGCAGAATATTAAAGCAATATCCCCTTGTGAACACAACAATCGAGTCCAACTTGATAAAAACCTTGAAACGTGCAAAT